ACGTACGTCAGATTTGGTTCAAGTCTGAGCTGTGGGGCAGTGGGCAAGTCACATAGGCTAGAGTTTTCAGACAGGCCTCTGGGAGCTGGGCACTTATCACCCATATTTTCCTTTGGGAAACCCAGCCTCTGCCTCAATTACCTTTCTACTATCTGCCTCAATTACCTCTCTGCAAAATGGGCATAATAAATACTACTTTCCCTCCCACATCGGGCATTGTGAGGATAAAATTAATTTATCATTATGGTGATAAGGGAAATACAAATTCCTAGCTAGAGGTTTATAAACTGAATGTATCTCATCAATTCCCCCTCCCATTCATTGTGCTTGTCATCATCTTGGATTGTAAGCCTGAAAGTGTTTGTACAGCTCTTAGTATAATGGGGCCCTTTTCTAGGCAGGCCATTCATCCGGTTTCATACCAAAGAGTCTTGCCTGTCTGAGATTCATCCCTCATACAGGACTGAGACAGAACAGGGTGTGGGTTTGTCCATATGAAATGGACATCACTTTGAAAAGCACACAGCTTCAGCCTGCCAGCATGACTTTGCATGCAGGTGGGTCCAATGTCATGCATCTGGGGGTAGGGCAGCATGCTCTTCAAAATGGCACCCTCCAAGAGCCATGCATGAACACTGACATAGTATTCTGGTATTCTGGGAATGTGGGAGTGACTGTTTCCTCCTTCAAATCTTCAGACTGCTGAAGTACTTGTAACAATCAATGGCAGCTCAGACCATGCCCTTCTCCTGCCTCAGCCTCTTTGGAGACCAGATGTAAGTTTTCTTCTCTTTGGGACCCCAAACATCATGGAGTATCCAAAGCTCTTCCAGTAAGTCTTGCTCCCCGATTGTCAGCCAGGATGGTCAAAAGTGCCTAATGGTGCCTGGAAGTAAATGGGAACTTTGTCTCTGAGGGTACGCCTACACTTGCCCCGTAGCTCGATCTAGGGAGGCTAATGAGAGTGACCGAAATTGCAAATCAAGCCCAGGATTTAAATATCCCGTGCTTGATTTGCATGTTCCCGTCCAGTCATCATTTTAGAAATTGACTAGCCCGAAGTAACTGCCCGCATCTACATGCAGCAGTGAAACGGGATTCTGATTTAAAGCCCCTAAATCGAATTAGCTGGTAAACCTCATTGCAGGAGGAATACCAGCTAATTCGAGTTAGGGCTTTACATCGGAATCCAGTTTCACTGCTGCAGGCAGTTACTTCGGGTTAGTCAATTTCTAAAATGGCGACTGGCTGGGAACGTGAAAATCAAGCGCAGGATATTTAAATCCCGGGCTTGATTTGCAATTTCGGTTGCCCTCATTAGCCTCTCTAGATTGATCTGGGGGCTAGTGTGGACGTACCCTGACTGAGCTTTGTGCCTATGAAATTCCCTGCTCACTTATTTTTAGCATCCAAACTGACTGCAAAGGGGGCCTGATTCTCAGACAATGCTGAATGCAGACTGTATGAAAATGAGGCCCATTGAGTAGGTCCCTGGTTGGGCACCCCAAATCACTGATCACTTTTGAAAATTTGGCCACCACTGTCCACTGACCATATTCAGGACCCAGTTCCCTACTTTTCACTTCTTCACTCCCATCCTTGAGTCTCACTAGAGAGGATTTTTTTAAAGCTTTGTACGAGGCTTTTATTTAAGCAAAAGAAATGACTTTTGATTAAATGGATTTTTTTATTGACTATGATCCTAAAGAACAAAAATATTCAATTGTCGCCAATTGAAAGACCAAAAAATAGGCTTTTGGATTTTGGGGGGGATCTTTAATGGAAGTTTATTAAAACTATTAAACTATTAAAAGTTTCAGTGAAACATTTTTTTCACAATCTTTGGTAAAAATAAAATAAAGTTCCCGCCAATTCTATGTGTCTCATTCTCCACTCCCCCACTCAGTCCTGCTGCATGAGTAGGCATGCTGTGCATTAAGGAAAATCTTTGACACAAAGAAACTTGGAAGACCATCAAACTTTGCTTTTTCCTTTATAACAATGCATCTGCCACCCAAATAGATTCTGTGTTTTGACCTCCAATTCATCTTGGGAAGGGTATCAGGCTGGCTGCTGGAACTGGAATAATAAAGAGGAGATTTCACATCTCTGAAAATATAGAGTTGGCTTGAGAAAATGCTTTTTTATTTTTCTGTGCTACATACAACTTTTTAGTCCCACCGAGTATGTTCCATTTATCTAGTGGAGACAGGGATCTAGTTGCTTGCCAGGTAGAATAATATCCATTCAGCTCCCAGCCAACTCAGTGGAATGAATCAGGCAAAAGAGGAAACAAGGCAATTGTGATGCCTGAGGTGTTCATTTCAAATTTAGTTCAGCTGCTAGATTGTTGTGAATGAGGATGTCACATTGTAAGCCTTGTGTCTCGCCTGTCCCTCAGCCTGCAGAGCTAAGAACAATAGGTAGTTCATACAATTGATTGTGGCCTAGATCCAGATAAAAATAGTATTTTACAGTCATTGTACACAGATGTGAATGAAAAAGAAAGGTGCAAAGTCCCTTTTATTGGAGAAATCCAAATATCTAGAGACCTCAGATGAGATTAGGGTTCATTATGCTGGGCATTGTACAAATGTATCATAAACAGGATTATTTGAATAACACCTTCTTTTGCTAGCAATTCTCAATGTAATACTTGTTTGGGGTCCATCAAAAATGAATTTTTGGGCCAATCAAAAGGTTAAAAACATTGTTGCAGCTGAGCAAAACCATGGTTTATTTTCTGAACACTTGTTAATGGATTTTTAAAACAAAAATGAAGGAAATTACTTTGTTGTGAATACAAAATCTGCAACGTTCCATTTTGAAAAAATGTTGAATATTGAAACAATTTTTAAAAGTTTTGTCTCAGTAAAAATAAAAAAAAAGATGAAACCAATGAGCTTGTGAAATGATTGCATGTCACCTAATCTGCATGCTTACCAAAAAAAGGTTTGGGAGAGAAATATTTTTGTCCTCTTTTGATAAGTGACAATCCTTGCACCAAAAGCTGAGACTCACTGGCTAGGACACACAGATGGTAGGAGGGGAATCAGAGGTTCAAAGCAGCAGCACTGCTCCACAGCAGTGCCAAGACTAGCACTCAGGTCTCCTGACTCCCAAGCTAGTGGCCTAGCCAGTGGACCACACAATGTCTTACTAACTGTATAGGATATAGTGTAGTTGTATATAGTATGGTTATAGTATATACATTCTCTGCTGGATAGCATGCACAAAGCTCTTGACAACATTGCCTATATTTCTAGAATAGCTCCCCACTCATGACATATTTTTTAGATAAAGGAAATGCAGTGGATCTAATCTACCTCGACTTTAGTAAGGCATTTGATACAGTACCACATGGGGAATTATTGGTTAAATTGGAAAAGATAGGGATTAATATGAAAGTTGAGAGGTGGATAAGCAACTGGTTAAAGGGGAGACTACAGCAGGTCATATTGAAAGGTGAACTGTCAGGTTGGAGGAAGGTTAATAGCAGAGTTCCTCAGGGATCAGTTTTGGGGCCAATTTTATTTAATCTTTTTATTGCTGATCTTGGCACGCACGCAGCCGAAAGTTTAACAACGGAGTAGAGGTCCTGTCAGGAGCACGCCAGGACAACCCTGACCAGACGACGCTGACACTGACAGTCCAGACCACCGAAGGTACCGAGGTACGAAAACACCGAGGTACGACAATGTAGATTATGAAGCATGCACTTGAGCAAGGGATCATTGGCCTTAGGTCCAATTAAATATACATACACTGAAATCAGATGACAGACCACCAGCCTTTTTCCTTTTTAGAAAGAGTATCTCCTATTACAGCAATCAGCATTAATCTTTGCCAAAGGCTTCATGAGCACACCCTGTAAGCCACTCAGATTTGTTTTGTACTCTGTGTTGGTTGCTTGTGCCAGTGATAGTTCACTTACAACACAGTGGCAGCTATTATAATACAAACAAAAAGTAAGTTGGGATACTCCAATCTACACTTAGTCAAGACTCCCATTGATTTGAATTTCACCAGTGTAGGAATGCAGCCTCCTATGCTTATAGTAATGTAATTACAAAGCTGTTCTAACACTCCCTGGAATTCACATTTACCAAGTAGGGACCTTCACTGACTTCTAAACTCGCTCTCTGCAAAAGCCATTCCTCAACTTGAGATTAGACGAAGGTTTCTAACCATTAGAGGAGTGAGGTTCTGGAACGTCCTTCCAAGGGAAGTAGTGGGGGCAAAAGATCTATCTGGTTTCAAGATTAAACTAGATGGGTTTATGAAGGGGATGGTTTGATGAGATAACATGATCTTGGTAACTAATTGACCATTCATTTCCAGTTGGAAATAGGTCAATGGAGGGATGATAGGAGTTACTATAGAGAACTTTCTGGGTGTCTGGCTGATGAGTCTTGCCCACATGCTCAGGGTTTAGCTGATCGCCATATTTGGGGTCGGGAAGGAATTTTCCTCCAGGGTAGATTGGCAGAGGCCCTGGAGGTTTTTCGCCTTCCTCTGTAGCATGGGGTACAGATCACAGCTGGAGGATTCTCTGCATCTTGGGGTCTTCAAAGTATTTGAAGGCTTCAATATCTGAGATATAGGTGAGAGGATTATTCTAGGAGGGGTGGGTGAGATTCTGTGGCCTGCACTGTGCAGGGGGTCAGACTAGATGATCATAATGGTCCCTTCTGACCTTGAAGTCTATGAGTCTATGACATGGCCAATCTTCTTTGAATGGCCAAGAAGGCCAGGATTAAGAATCAGTGGCTGGGAGTTTGAATTCAGGCACTTGGCAACAGATACAACTTTCAGTAAATTGAGTTCTTGTAATATCTAGAGGGGTGTCATGTGGAGGTGGCTTTGCTGAGGATCAGCCCACAGGGCTTGTAGATCTGCCAGGGACATGAACAATATCTTACTAGTAATTGGTGGGGCAGCCTGCTTAGCTGGGAAGCCATTTTTGATTGTGTCTTGCTTTCTCTTTTTTACTCCCTCAGGATATTTGTGCTGGGCATTGGATTTTTCACCCTGTGCTTCTTAATGACATCTTTGGGAGGCCAGTTTTCAGCCAAAAGACTGGGAGACTCTCCCTTCACCATCAGAACAGAAGGTAACAGACATTTTAACTGTTTTGAAAACTATTGTAAACTTGTCACAAAGAGCAGAGCCAGCACTAGCATAGGACTAAATGCCTCTTCTGGGTTAATGAGTCTAGGGAAGTGCACTAATCAATGTCTGCCTGTTATTGCTGCCTGATGGAGCATGACAGACCTACCAATGCCTGCTAGCTCCCCTGGCTGGCTCATGGGGTTGAGGCCTGTGTTTCTGGAGCTGCAGATCTTGAATTGCTTGAAATGCTACGTGTATGGGCTGCTTGACTATTTCCATTCCTCTGTTTATAGTACAACTCTTTTCTCCATAAACAAGGAGGGCAGAGAGGGAGGAAATCTGATGGAGACAGGCACTTTTGGAAAGCCTCCTCGAGAACATTACAAAGTGCCTGGAGGGGGTTATAAACCATGAAGCTGTAGCAGTGTTTGGAGCAAGACATTGTGATGGCAGCTGGTGTATAGGATGCGGGGATTATCTGAATGCAAGGGGCTTAGCTGGCATGAGCTCCAGAGACCGTGCCAGCATGCAGCATGGAGACTCTGATTCAGGACAGTTGAAGGCTTTGTGGTTGTAGACAGACTGGTCTCCAGGGAGTAGAAGTTGGAGATTGACAGTTTTGTCTTTTTTTTTTTTTGTCTCTTAAGGAGACACTATGATGGGGAAACTCGGGCATCAGCCAATGTGCGCTTTACATTTCAATACCCATAAAAGTACTCTAGAGCATTGAACGGGAAAAGGTAAAGCATTCTGATTCTGGCAGAGAAGTTCATTGGGAGAAATGTTGCAGAAGGGCAAGTCTGAGGACTGATGGGATGTAACCCATTTTGTTCTTTCCCTCACCTGTGCATTCCTGACACCTCCTCGATCCCCCCTCCATACCTCACCCCAGGCCATGTAGGGATCCTGATCATCTGTTTGTGAGGTGAATTCTTGTTGCTCCTGCTCACCTCCCATAATGGATTTGGTGGTCAGGAGGTAGGGCTGCAGCAGAGCAGAAATGTGGGAGGAAGGGGAGAGAAAGTGGTAATGGACACAGCCTGTGGCTGCCAGTCAGATGGGGCAACTGATGGTTGAGGATGTTCATGTTGTGAGCACTATGGAGTGTTGTCGGAGCTGCAGAGTTGTTGTTGCAAGTAGCGCTGCTATTCATGGAGCTCTGAGGCTATCTGCAGGAGGTAGGGCTGCAGCAGAGCAGAAATGTGGGAGGAAGGGGAGAGAAAGTGGTAATGGACACAGCCTGTGGCTGCCAGTCAGATGGGGCAACTGATGGTTGAGGATGTTCATGTTGTGAGCACTATGGAGTGTTGTCGGAGCTGCAGAGTTGTTGTTGCAAGTAGCGCTGCTATTCATGGAGCTCTGAGGCTATCTGCACTAG